GTGTTGTTATAGAATCAAAATTGCAGAAAAGAAAAACAAGCATATAAAACAAATTTACTGAGTCTAAATAAGGTGCAGAGTGAAAAAATTCCTCCCGCCCGTTATAGGGAAAGCACTTTGCCGTGTTCCCAGATTGCAATCCTATCAAACACTTGTCTGCCGAAATGCAACGAAAATAAAAGGGAACGTGTTGTTCAAAATGTTGTTCAAAACGAGTCAAGGCCTTTCGACCAAGGTACAAGAAATTTGGAAAGCGATTCCAACAAGGAAACTCGAGAAACTGGTTGCAAGGATTTCAACAAGGAAACTGGTTGCCATCTACATGAAATTATTCGAGTTAAAGGCACGAGCACGATACTGAAATAGTTCTTTTTGTTTTTAAGAAAAGACCCTTGAGCCTTGAACTACGACCCCGGGCCGCAAGCCACTCGGCCACTCGGCTACTGAGCCCGTATGCTACACTCCGGGAAAAGTTCTGGTGGCGTCTCTGATCTTTACGTCTTCACCTTTGCTCTTTACGGTAAAACGTCTACAGTTTCCTCGACTTTTCCTCGGAAAATTCCTCTGGAAGTTCCTCTGGAAGTTCCTCTGGAAGTTCCTCGGAAAATTCCTTTGGAAGTTCCTCTGGAAGTTCCTCTGGAAGTTCCTCTGGAAGTTCCTCTGGAAGTTCCTCTGGAAGTTCCTCGGAAAATTCCTCTGGAAGTTCCTCGGAAAATTCCTCTGGAAGTTCCTCGGAAAATTCCTCTGGAAGTTCCTCTGGAAGTTCCTCTGGAAGTTCCTCTGGAAGTTCCACTGGAAGTTCCTCTGGAAGTTCCTCTGGAAGTTCCTCGGAAAATTCCTCTGGAAGTTCCTCGGAAAATTCCTCTGGAAGTTCCTCTGGAAGTTCCTCTGGAAGTTCCTCTGGAAGTTCCTCGGAAAATTCCTCTGGAAGTTCCTCTGGAAGTTCCTCTGGAAGTTCCACTGGAAGTTCCTCTGGAAGTTCCTCTGGAAGTTCGGAAAGTTTTACCGAAAACTTTCTGGAAGAAAATTACATTCCGCCGGAAAACTATAGACGTTTTACCTGAAAGATCACGCTTTTTTTTAGCCCACTGTGGGCCTCTGGAAGTTTCCTTTTCCTGTGGGCTAAAAAAAAAGGCTGTAAATCGTCTTTTCGAATGAAATTTTTATCAAAGAGAATTCTTTTCGATTCACCGGAATTCAAAAATAGCAAAAAGCAAAATGAACAACTGAGAATGCATTAAAAGCAAGAAAAAAAAGCAAGTAAGCAAAGCCGCTACAGAATATACAGCAAAAAATGAATGTGTATTTGTTTTTTGGCAATTCGGTGGAATGATGAGGGTCAAAGAATCACAAAATACAGTTCGATTTCGGAAAAAGAAAAAGGAATCCCGCACGGATCCCGCACGAAGAAAAAGCACGAAAAAACTGATGCAAAAAGGCAAAAAGCTGACACCAAAAATGGGGTTAGATTTAGGGAAAAATGCTAAACGAAAAAAAAAAAGCAGAGAAAAATATCACAGTATGAATGGTGAATGGGTGGAACTGGACATGGGCTGATTGATCCGATTCGGGATTGGAAGAGATCTGGTGCTCGTTCTAAGCGGGTAAACTGTTTAGGCAACTGTTTAGTCATTTTCCTTGACTAAACAGTTGCCTAAAAGCTACCGTACTTGAGCAGTTAAGCAGTAAAGCAGTTCGTTCTTCTACAGAATAGCAAAGGTCGAATCTGTGCCAATCTGCCAGTTGGTTGGTTTTGATTGGTTTTGTTTTGGTTTGGTTCAACTTAGTAAACTACTGGGATCAATTTTTGCATCAAGTCCAAGATTAGATCATCTGTAAGTTTGAATCCAGCTCTGGCTCGTGTTGGACTGGTTTGGATCCAGCTCTGGCTCGTGTTGGACTGGTCAAATCGATCTAAGATCAGGCTTAGGCTTGGATGGGAATTAGGATCAGAATTAGGATCAGAATTAAGATGCAGTCTAAACCAGGCCAGGATCAAGTCTGTTTTTTGAATACCAGATTAGAACAGGTTTGGCATGGGTTGATTTATCTGTTTCGAGATTAGAAAGGGTCTGACTCTGACCCCGGGGTGAAACAGGGTCCAGCTGGCTTGGCAAAGGTTGATCCAGTCCAATCTTTGGCCTAGCCTTGTCTGGCCTTCCAGTCTTGTCCGATGTCCGACAAAACAGGCCCGATCTTGGCTCAATCCAGAGCAATTGAAGTCTGGAAAGAAGTCCAGGTCACCTGGAATCCCGAGACTTACCCAGTTCTGGGAACAATTTGACCAGTCCAACACAAGCTGATTCAAAATCCCTGACCCTGGACAATCTGATTAGTCCAGGTTGGATTCAAAAACAGATCTGAAACAGGGTCCAGCTGGCTTGGCAAAGGTTGATTCGGTCCAATCTTTGGCAAAAGTTGATCCCGGTCCAATCCAACCGGTGGTTTGGCTCTGGTTCTGGACAGCCTAGACCCTAGACCAGTCTAGACTTAGGCCTAGATCGTCTGGAACTAATTCCAAGCAACCTGGACTCCAACGGATTCTGGCTACCAGCAACTGGGGCCTAGGTGCTTAGGGCCGACAGATAACAGAACCAACAACAACATGAGTCAGTCTGACTAGAGAAGAGTACTAGATCACCGTGGGATTTTGATAGGATTCGCCCATCTGATAGAAAATCGAACGGGGAAACTGATTCTGTAATCAAAATCTGTCAAATAGCTCGCAAACGTAAGATTTCTGGCCTCTAAGTTTTTGCTATACACTCTTGAGTTGAGTTGACGCTTAGTTTTCAACGACATGGTGTAGCGGGTAGTGTGCCTGTCTACGGAACTAATCAGAGATATCTGTGGTGGGTTCGAATCCCCCACTTGACAAACGAAACGTTTTTCTTTTCTTGGTACTCTTCTCTAGTGAGGCTGGTAAGCTTGAAAGCTTGATCTAACTGGGCTAAAACAAGAATCTCCCAAATCAGATCAAGCATTCTGTCTAGATTGTGAAAACAGAATTAATATCGGATCGAATCTTAGCCTTGTTTTAATTGGATCGGATCTTAGCCTTATTTTAATCGGATCGGATCTTAGTCTTATTTTAATCGGATCGGATCTTAGCCTTATTTTAATTGGATCGGATCTTAGCCTTATTTTAATTGGATCGGATCTTAGCCTTATTTTAATTGGATCGGATCTTAGTCTTATTTTAATCGGATCGGATCTTAGTCTTATTTTAATCGGATCGGATCTTAGTCTTATTTTAATCGGATCGGATCTTAGTCTTATTTTAATCGGATCGGATCTTAGCCTTGTTTTAATCGGATCAAATCGATCGACACTTGTCAGAACGACTCAAAACTGTCAGAACAAAGAGATTTCTCAATAAAGTATAGATTTGGATTCGGAAAATGGGAAAATGAAGAAGATGTAAACACTCAGTAAAATTCTAAACGTTTCTAAACGTTTCCTTACTATCAAAACAATGCTTTTTGTGAAAAACTGGCACCGGTTTATGGAGAAAAATAAAAAATAAAAAATAAAAACTGAAAAAGAAAAAGAAAATTGAAAGAAAACTGAAATTCGAGAGGATTTTTGATAGCTGAAATATACATCATAGTACCCGTCGATAAGAAATGCAAAAAGGTGGATGATTGGATGATTGGGAGAAAGATGTTATTATATAGATTAGACCTGGGAAAATTCCAAGCCGCACCAAAATCCAGCTTCGTTTTCTCCAGCCGCCTCTTGGCCGATTGCTGGAAAATCTTGGCCATCATTTCTAGGAAAGTCTTGATCAATTTCATTTAAATCTTTTTGTCCCTGATTTCAATCGATAGAGAATGAAATTCTGCGTTAATTGACGCAAAAAGCAAAAAGGTTGGAGTGAAATTGATCGAGGTATGACCGAGATTGGTTGAGACTGAGGCTAAGACTGAGGCTGAGGCCTGGCTGAGACTGAGGCTGAGGCCTGGCTGAGGCCTGGCTGAGACTAATTGGCTGAGGCTTTTCCGTTGTATGCCTATTGACGTTCGCACCGAAAATTCCCAGGTCTAGTGTAGACTGTAATCTAGTGAGAAATGCGTAATTCAACCGTCATTAGAAAACTAGCGTAACCCCAGCGAGCCACCGTAATCCCATTGTCAACAAGGGGATTTGGATTACGGTAGTTTTCCGAATTTCGGTAGTTTTAGATTCAGATTACGGTAGTTTTAGAAAACATTTTGATTAAGAGAAACACAGTTCACGAATAGTTCAAAGTAGGGATGGGATTTACTTCGAAAAACTGAAACACATTTTTGAAACACATCTCTGGAACATTGTCGAGATCTCGGGATATAAAAGATCCAGTGTTTCGAGTTTAGGCACAAAGTGAAAGCGTTAAAAAGTGGTAGATCAATGTTTGAATCAAAGTTCAATGAGATGTTTTCAATCCGATAGCTCTAGATGATCGAGATATAGATGATCGAGATATAGATGATCGAGATCTAGATGATCTGGATCTAGATCGAGATCTAGATGATCTGGATCTAGATGATCTGGATCTAGATTGAGATCTAGATGATCTGGATCTAGATGATCTGGATCTAGATGATCTGGATCTAGATGATCTGGATCTAGATTGAGATCTAGATGATCTGGATCTAGATGATCTGGATCTAGATTGAGATCTAGATGATCTGGATCTAGATGATCTGGATCTAGATGATCTGGATCTAGATGATCTGGATCTAGATTGAGATCTAGATGATCTGGATCTAGATGATCTGGATCTAGATGATCTGGATCTAGATGATCTGGATCTAGATTGAGATCTAGATGATCTGGATCTAGATGATCTGGATCTAGATCGAGATCTAGATGATCTGGATCTAGATGATCTGGATCTAGATGATCTGGATCTAGATGATCGAGATCTAGATCGAGATCTAGATGATCTGGATCTAGATGATCTGGATCTAGATGATCTGGATCTAGATTGAGATCTAGATGAGCTTTAGGCTAGATTAGGTCATTGTTGCGTTGATTGAGTCGATCTTGAGTCGATCGACGAGTCTGTCCAAGCGTGGTGAGCCTTTTGGTGCCTGAAGCTTAAAATCCTTTGGTTTAACTTAAAAACAAACTCTTAAATAAACTTTTAAATAAACTATTAAAAATTTAAAAATCGAATTCAAACAAAATGCGAATACTTTGCCAAATTTACGAATTTTCACAAAACTCGCATTTCACAAAACATTGTGAAATCGATCCTAAACGGTGTTCAGTATTTACGGCGACTTCTTTTTAAGTAGCTCCCAAGCATCAAGTTCAACTCTAATGTGTTAAGTGCTACGTAAAATATTGAGGCCCTTATTCTTGGCTACATTTCTCTATTCAAGGTTTTCCAATTGGAGATATACAACTCATTTTATTAGAGAGCTTCAATATTTTAATTAACACTTAGCACATTAAAATTGAATTTCTACCAAAAAAAAGCGCGCTAAAAGAAAAAGGAAAAGGAAAAAGAAGCTAATCGATCAAAAACAGAGTTAATCTATCAAAATCGTTGTAAATATTGAAAATCCAGTCTATTCTATTAAATGTAAATCTCCTATAAACAAACGTACCTTCTTTTCTTTTGTGCTCTCTTCCATTTTTTCCATTTTCTTCTCATCAACGATCTTTATTGAACTTGAAGAGGAGAATGGCTAAAAAAGACGTGTAACTTTTAAGTATTAGGTTGGTGAATTGAAAACTGCGGGACTTTGAACTAAAATTTATTCAACATAAAACCATCAATTCATTCCAAATAATTTCCATTATTATTGACGACTTCTGCCCATTTTACAGGCAATTTGCGGATTCCTCTTTCGTAGTTGGATTTTGGTTTTGAATCGAAAAACTTTCAAAGCCAATTTTCGACTTCTTCTTCCGAATCGAAGTGTTCTCCCGCAAGCTCATTACTCATGATCCGGAATAAATAGTAATCAAAAGGAGCTGGACTGTATGGGTAATGCGCCAGGAGTCCCCAAACAAGGCTATTTATTTTAGAGCTAGTCAGTTTTGCAACATGAGGGCGCGCGTTGGAGAACGATCTTTGACTTGGAGGGCCTATTCTTCTTCAGCGATTCATTCACCTTTCCCAACTGTTCACTGTATTTGATTGCATTAACGGTCGCCTTGCTATCCAGCAACTCCCAGTACACCACTCCCTCCATAACCCAGAAAACGCAGAGCATAAACTTCTTCTGGTGCAAATCGGGCTTGGGGTCACTTTCGGGTTTCTCGCCTGACCCCACCCATTGCCGCTTCCTCTTCTTCTTCCTCGACTTCTGCCCATTTTACAGGCAATTTGCGGATTTCTCTTTCGTAGTAGGGTTTTGGTTTGTGTGTGAGACAAGTGTGAGACTCAGGACTGGAGATGTCCCAGTTTGAGCACTTTCTTCAAAAGAAACCCATTTTGGTGTCAATAGAGAAGTTGTAGAGAATCAAAAATTAGGCTTATAGCCAAATTTCCAAAAAGATACACTTAGCAGTTTCGCTTAAAATGTTTTGTGAAATGCGAGTTTTGTGAAAATTCGTAAATTTGGCATTTCTTGAAAAGCAGTTTTTGAATCGTTCTGAAAATTTGGATATAAGCTTGATTTTTGATTCTCTACAACTTTTCCATTGACACAAAAATGGGTTTCTTTTGAAGAAAGTGCTCAAACTGGCCCATATGACAATAGCCGGCAGTTTTCAATTTACCAACCCAATATTTAAAATATTTAAAGCCAAACCTGTAATCTTCTCTCAATGTTTCGCTTCTCGGGAAACTTTATGAAAGCATATGGATGTTGATTAACGAAATAGTGCTGATTTCTAGGCAATTTCTTGATGATTCGAGTCTTCGAGTGCATCTCGAACTCGCAGAAGAGAATGTCTTTTTCCTGAAAAGTTTCTGAAAAATTGAAAAACTGAAAACTGAAAAGCTGAAGATTTTCTAATATTCATCTCTAATAATTTTATATTTTCTTGTCAAAAAGCTTTTTATTATAAGCTTTATACTTTCCAGCTTGTCAAAAAAGCTTTCTATAATTTCCAGCTTGTCAAAAAGCTTTCTATACTTTCCATCTTGTCAAAAACCTTACCAAAAGTCGTGGAATCGATGGGTATCCCTCTGTCCAGATTGAGGATTTCAGCACCGAACATCGCCCAACCGCTGCATTTAATGGCAATGTATCATACATTTGAGTGGAGAGCACCTGAAGATTCTTTTCTTTTCTTTTTCTTTTCTTTTTCTTTTACAGATAATTCTATAGATTCTTGTAAATCTTTCAATTCCTTACCTCATTTGGATGGAATTTCCTCGTCGGATCCTTGAATGTCTCGTGTGGACGGGCATAATAGAAACCGAAGATCCATCTGAATGAGTGATTGGAAAAATTGGAAACAAAAAAATGCTCATGCTTTGCTTGACATATTAAGAAGTGGAAAAGGTGAATGAGGCTTTTAGAAAGTCTGATTTGAGTTTTTGAAATGATGGAAGTATCAGAATGGAAAACTGAGCTGTTTAGGCTGCTTCTTCTTTAGTAGCGACTCCAGTACTCTACTTTAATGTCTATTGGGTACTTTCGTATCTTTGCTCCGTCAACGAAAACAGAATAAATGTAAATTTCACCCGCCTTTGCCACTAGTTTGGTAAAAATAAGCGGGGAAATTGTATAAACGACTTTATTATTTTTATGTTCATAATTCTAGCTAAAATCTATTCAAAACCATATCAAAACTAGGAAAAAATGCTAAAATTCAATGAAGTAAGCAGTTAAAGATCAATTTACATATAAATCGGTTATAAAATTGAGTACTTCCGCATTTTTGCCTGATTATAGGAGTTTGATCCGGGCCCCGCCCCTTTGCCATTGGCAATCTAACTTTGAGCTTTAGCTTTCTTGGTGTTGGGCTATCCAATTTTGATATTCTTGTTATCATTAGATGCGCCAAGTCTTTCTCTATCGATTGGTACAAAAACTATTTAAATTAGACAATCCAAAACCAAGATATTTGAGCTTAAAGTTAGATTGCCAATGGCAAAAGGGGCCGGGCGCGTATAAAAGGTGGGACATGCTCCGCCCTCTTCGCCATTGGCTATCAAACATTGAGCTCAAATATCTTGATGTTCGGCTGTTCAATTTCAATATTCTTGGTATGAGTTGGGACGTATAAAAGATGGGACACGCCTCGCCCCTTTGCCATTAGCAATCTAGCTTTAAGCTCAAATTTCTTGGTTTTGGATTGACCAATTTCAATGGTTTTTATACCAATCGATAGAGAAAGATTTAGCGCATCTAATGATATTAAAAATATCAAAATTGGATAGCCCAACACCAAGAAAGCTAAAGCTCAAAGTTGCCAATGGGAAAAGAGGCGGGTTTGTATGAAATGTCCGGTAATCCTTTGCCCGGCTAACCAAAACCGAATAAATTTGTGCTTTCTTTTGTATTCTGCATCAATTTATGCCTAAAGAAGTCGAATTATAATCTCTTTTCGTTTTAAACCTTTCTGAAATTCCTTTCATTTCACCTCTTCCCATCGCTCGTCAAGATCAACCGCTCCACCCGCATGATGCCAACATTTTGACGTGAGAACTCTCGGATTGGAAGTTGTGAGGAGCTAAAAGAGAAGAATTCATTTAAAAGAATTCATTTAAAAGAATTCATTTAAAATAATTCAATTAAAATAATTCATTTAAAATAATTCATTTAAAAGAATTCATTTAAAAGAATTCAATTAAAATAATTCATTTAAAAGAATCGTTTTAAAATAATTCATTGCCAACATTAACTCCTTAATATTTATAATCTCCTTAAATATTATATTTGAAGACTTACGGCTTCTTTATTTTCAGTGTTCTTTTCACTTTCTTTTCGTTATCCGCTTCCGATTGTTCGAGAGACTTTCTTAGGGATTTTTTGTGCTGAAAATTTTGTTGAAAAGAGATTTTATGCAAAGCTTTTTTTTCACCTCATCACCCGTCAATTTCTCCACGTAAACGCTTTCATTTAATCGAATCTGAATTGTTCTTTGGTTTTTGGTAGATTACTTTCGCAAACCTGGATCCCGTACTCGTTGACGAGCGCCTTAAAATAGGTACAGCCGGGAAAGCTCACTTCGGGTTGATTCTGGAAAAGAGGAATTGAATTTGAGAAGTTTTTTAAAGATAATATTGTTAATATTATTAATATTATTATTAGTATTATTAATATTATCAATATATTATCAATATTTATTAATATTATTCTTCAAAATCTTTGAAATTCTTGAAATTCTTGAAATTCTTGAAATATTGGGTTGTTAGGCGCTATATAATTAGATAGTTAGGCACTATATTGTTAGATATAGTTAGGTAGTTGTGATTTCTATTAAATAAGTAAGTGTAAGTCTAGAGTAGGCGGAGGAAAGGAATGCTGTAACTATTGGGTTGGTGAATTGAAAACTGCCGGACTTTCAAACTAAAATTTCTTTAACAAAAAACCATGAATTCATTCGAAATAATTTCCATTATTATTGACGACTTCTGCCCATTTTACAAGCAATTTGCGGATTCCTCTTTCGTGGTAGGATTTTGGTTTTGAATCGAAAAACTCTTAGAGCCAATTTTTGAATGCTTCTTCCGAATCGAAGTGTTCTCCCGCAAGCTCATTACTCATTATCCGGAATAAATAGTAATCAAAAGGAGCTGGACTGTATGGGGAATGCGCCAAAGGTTCCCAAGCAAGGCTATTTATTTTAGAGCGAGTCAATTTTGGAACATGAGGGCGCGCGTTGTCGTGGAGGAGAACGATCTTTGACTTGAAGGGCTATTCTTCTTCAGGGATTCATTCACCTTTCCCAACTGTTCACTGTATTTGATTACATTAACGGTCGCCTTGCTATCCAGCAACTCCCAGTACACCACTCCCTCCATATCCCAGAAAACGCAGAGCATAAACTTCCTCTGGTGCAAATCGGGCTTGGGGTCACTTTCGGGTTTCTCGCCTGACCCCACCCATTGCCGCTTCCTCTTCTTCTTCCTCGACTTCTGCCCATTTTACAGGCAATTTGCGAATTCCCCTTTCGTAGTAGGATTTTGGTTTGAGTGTGAGACAAGTGTGAGACTCGAAAATGGAGGACTGGAGATGTCCCAGTTTGAGCACTTTCTTCAAAAGAAACCCATTTTGGTGTCAATAGAGAAGTTGTAGAGAATCAAAAATTAGGCTTATAGCCAAATTTCCAAAAAGATACACTTAGTAATTTCACTTAAAATGTTTTGTGAAATGCGAGTTTTGTGAAAATTCGTAAATTTGGCATTTCTTGAAAACCAGTTTTTGAATGGTTCTGAAAATTTGGATATAAGCTTGATTTTTGATTCTCTACAACTTTTCCATTGACACCAAAATGGGTTTCTTCTGAAGAAAGTGCTCAAACTGTCACATATGACAATAGCCGGCAGTTTTCAATTTGCAATGTTCTTTAAGCTCAAAATAGCTCGTAAGCTCAAAACGCATCCTTTCTGGCGCACTTATTCCTTTCATTTTCTAATAACAACAGCAAAATAGAGAATTCAGTGCACTAGAAAGTGTGTGTTGGGGAACTGGATGGCATTTGATGGCAAAAAGTTTACCTTTAAGATAACATCCGTTGACGGTCGATTTGAGGTGATCTTTCCGTTGCAGAAATTGCATTTGTACTCTCCCTGGAAAGATATTTTTTTTAAAACCATGAGAACCAAAAATTTTAACTAGCAAGAAAGTCTTTGCACAGATTTAAACTAGAATCTAAACTAGAATCTCTTTAAAAATGAATCCACCAACACAAAAACACTTTGCTCAACTATTTACAGTGTTTTCTTGTGATCAAAAAGCTCTGCTACACTTTATTCCACTTCTATTCCATTCCACCGATCTCACCAGATCATTCACTTCATTGTCGACCTCTTGACACTTGCTCTTGGCACTTAAGCTTATCCCTAATGCTTAGCTTACCCTGATAAGGCTATCCCTAATTTCCTGATAAGGCTATCCCTTATTCGCTTTTCAAAATAGACTTGCTTTATAGCAAAATAGACTTTCAACTAGCTTAATCAACGATCTTGAAGATAGCTATAGTCTTTTATACTATACTTTTAAACTCTATACGTTTAAAATCAACATAAGACCAAACTCTAGAAGCCAAGTGACAAGTTCTGGCTGCTAGTGCTTTGTTTTCTACAGTTTTTTTTGAATGCCTATGTCTATTTGTCTGCATTTTACTTCTACAATATATTTTGTGGCCAAAAAGCTCTTCTACACTGTATTCCACTCCTATTCCATTCCACCGATCCCACCAGATCATTCACTTCATTGTCGACCTCTTGACACTTGCTCGTCGACGGTTTCTCTTCATCTTCATTGTTCTGAATCTCTGCCCGACTATTCGACTCACGATCGACGCTTTTCGCTTGGCGTTGGCGTTTCTGAAACTTGAATTTGATTAGATTTGATTTTATTTGATTTGATTTGGTTAGATTAGATTACATTTAATTTGATTAGATTAGATTAGATTAGATTAGATTAGATTAGATTTGATTAGATTTGATTAGATTAGATTATATTTGATTAGGCTTTCAAATTTCCAACTCAACCTTTTGTATTTCAATTTTCGGAGCTTTGCTGAGCGACTCTTGAGCAATTTCTTGTTTCACATCAATCTGAAAAAGATTCGAGTGTACCAGAAGAAAAAAAACAACAAAAAGACAAATCTAAAATTCTAACAAATCTAACAATCTAACAATCTAACAGCCACTTACCACTTCTCCACTCGGCTCCATTCCAATGCAATCACTGTGCAGCCAGTAGTGACACTCGTCACACTAAATAAAAGGTATCGTATTTATTCTAATAGAAGCGCAGTCTCTAATAGAAGCAATTTTGTGGAATGATTGAAAATAAAAATGCATGCACTTCCATTAGAAATATTATATTTCAATGTAACTTCTTTTGCACTTAAAAGATCTTTGTTTCTCACTCACCTGTATACATTTAGAGTGTCCCCCCAAGGACCCCCTTTGCCCCCTCAAGTGCCCCCTCTGCCCCTCCAAGGGCCCCCTTTGCCCCCTCAAGTGCCCCCTCTGCCCCTCAAGTGTCCCCTCTGCCCCCCAAGTGCCCCTCCAAGTGCCCCCTTAAGTCGAAAAGTGTTCTTTAGATGGACACTTTAGAGGGACACTTAGGGGATACTTAGGGGACACTTAAGGGACACTTAGGGGACACTTGGGGGGCAGAGGGGGAGGGGCACTCGAAATGTATTTTGTAGCATCTTCCCACTCACCTGTAGCATTTTCCCATCTTCTTCCAACGATCCACAAATGCATCGAATCGCATCGTCGCATTCATTTGCTTTCCCCGTTGGCCAAGCATCGTCTGGGTCATAAGAGCCGATCTGAATTTAAACATTGCAAATCATGAGTTCAAGAAGGCTATATTTTTCTCGAGAAATTATTTGCAAAGTTTAATTAGCGGCAAATTAGCAAAGTCTAGAGGCAATGGGAGGTTTTTGGAGGTTTTTGAAGGTTTTTGGGGGTTTTTGAAGGTTTTTGAAGGTTCACGAATAGTAAAGCTTTGTGAAAATGGTAATATTCTGAAGAATTCTCATGTGTCACTTGATCTAAACTCATAAAGAACATCGAGCTCACCAATTGATCGCATTGCAGATACTCGAAATTCACTCCAGACAATCGCTTCCTTGGCTTCTCATCCCTTTGTGATCCCTCGCTCTTCACCTCGTCTTTCTCCTCTTTTATCTCTTCTTTTATCTCCATTCTGGAGGTGATTGCCTTTTTGCCCAAGTAACAATCGATGAGTTTTCTAAAAAAAATCCATTATTTATGTCTTAACTTTGTATTTACTTGTGAAGTTTTGAGCAATTCGATTCTCGGGAGAATTCTTTCAGATGCTCGATGAACGTTCGTTTGTCAGCGCCAAAACGGAGAGATTCGATGCACTTTGAGTAGTATTTTAGTAGCCTCAATGGCATTGATCCGTCTGGATAACGGGCACGTCTCGCGATCAATTGAAGGACCTGAAAATGATGATTTTCATGGAGAAAATGGGAAAACAGAACTAGTTTTTTGGCTTAAAGAGTGGAGATAGTGAAAAACTCATTTACTTTGTGAATTGCATTTCCTTTTCTGTTTCATCTGTTTCTGTTTACTATAACTTTTTCCCTACATCAAATTGCTAGATTCATTATTTCATTCATTTTCAAATAGCTTCATTATTTCATTAATTCTAGCTAAAATCTATTCAAAACCATATCGAAACTAGGAAAAAATGCTAAAATTCAATGAAGTAAGTAGTTAAAGATCAATTTGGCTATAAATCGGTTATAAAATTGAGTACTTCCGCATTTTTGCCCGATTATAGGAGTTTGATCCGGGCCCCGCCCCTTTGCCATTGGCAATCTGACTTTGAGCTCAAATATCTTGGCTTTGGGCTGTTCAATTTAGAGATTCTTGGTATCATTAGATGCGCCAAGTCTTTCTCTATCGATTGGTAGGAAAACTGTTTAAATTGGTCAATCCAAAGCCAAGATATTTGAGTTCAAAGTTAGATTGCCAATGGCAAAAGGGGCGGGGCGCGTATAAAAGGTGGGACATGCTCCACCCCTTCGCCATTGGCAATCTAACTTTGAGCTCAAGTATCTTGATGTTCGGCTGTTCAATTTAAATATTCTTGGTATGAGTTGAGACGTATAAAAGATGGGACACGCCCCGCCCCTTTTGCCATTGGCAATCTAACTTTGAGCTCAAATATCTTGGCTTTGGGTTGTTCAATTTAGAGATTCTTGGTATCATTAGATGCGCCAAGTCTTTCTCTGTCGATTGGTAAAAAAACTATTTAAATTGGACAACCGAAAGGCAAGATATTTGAGTTCAAAGTTTTATCTTAAACAGTGAAAAACTCATGTACTTTTAGCACATGAGTTTTTGGCCTTTTAGTGAATTGTATTTCCTTTTTTGTTTACTATAACTTTTTCCCTACATCAAATTGCTAAATTTGCTCAGATATAGTCGTTAAAACAGTGCTTTTTCAGAGATAACTTCAATATAAAGTATACTGCAAGAAAAAAGTAGGTTTAAACAGAGCCGACTGAAGCTTTTGAACTTGTCCTAACTAGTAGCTCTTAAGGTTTTGGCTCTTAAGGTCTTGGCTCTTAAGTTATTAGACCCTTAAGTTGTTGGACTCTTAAGTTGTTGGACTCTTAAGTTGCTGGTTCTTAGGACAGACAGACGGACGGACATACAGACAAACGTTCGTTTGTCTGTCTGTCTGTCTGTCTGTCTGTCTGTCACGTCTACGCGATAATACAAATTATGTTAACGTAAAATTCCAAGCTGAGCTAGAAAGCTGAAAATTTGTACTCGGAGGGTTTTCGGGGGCTAGGAATCCGAATTTGCAATCAGATTTGTAATCAAATTTTTGCTAGGTGCCCTCAGTACCTCTAGGTCGAATATCTGTGCGCTAAGTGAAGAGTTTAGTGAGCGAATAGGTTTCGCTGTGACTCACATGTCTCATTGCATTCCTCGACCCTTTACCCACTCGATCCACTGCCAGTAAACGAATCGGCGCTAAAAAAAGTTTTTGAGTCTAGACGATGAGCTCATTCTTCATTAATTTAATTCATTAATTTCTTTTTTTTCTACGTTTTTACCTCCATTCCAAACGGCTCGATTCACCGAAAGAGCCCGATTTCTAAGCAAGAATAAGCGCTCCTTTTGAACGATGCTCTCTTCCTGAAAGGGAAATTTGAAAAACTATTTTGATTGCTACAAGTTATAGATTTCTATTTTTCAAATCTTAAGCCAAATCTTAAGCCAAACCTTGATGCAAATATCGTCAGCCATTGCTAAATGAGGATTCCGAGCAGCTTTATTGTAAACTGGAGAAGTGGCGGCTTGCGAGAGACATTTCTTGCATTCACACAAGCATTCGATTGGGGATTGTCGAGAAAAGGAAACCTAGAGTCAGAATTGATTTCTTTGATTGATTTTTCTTTAAAGTATACTTTGAGCTTAAAAAAAATGCCCTAAAATGATCATTAAACTGACCGTAATCGCTGTATCCTTATCGATTTCATCTCTAGCGAAGATTCCCGCTTTGAGGCGACCATTCACAAGCCTGTAACTGATCTATTGCAAAAGCAAATCACTAGTGCAAAAGCAAATCAATTGAAGATCTTCATTTTGAATAGGATTCTGTCAAAAGTCACAATTCTGTCCACTTACCACACTTGAAATTCAGCATTTGCGGTGCACGAGTGAGTGACAAAGCGGCCGAGATTTCCCTTCAAAGTCGCGTCAACAAATATCCGCGAACACAACGCCAAGGCTCGTATCTGAACAAAAATCGTTTCCAAAATCGTTTCAAAAACAAGATTTGTTTCAAAAATCAAACTAAAACCAAGTTCTATTAGTCAATTCTATTCGGTACATGCATAAGAAATGCGATTTCAAAATTTTCATAAATTTCCAACGATAGAAACATTCATCGATTTCCTGAAATCGATTTCCTGATATTGATGAATGTTATAAATTATTTGAAAGTTGTAAACGAAAGCTGTAAATCTCCTCTACAAAATACGCTAAAACGTGTTTCAATTGATCGAAGCATTGAAGAAATTTCAAGGGCGAAATGCGAGTGACCAAAAAAGGAATCGAGGGACTTTAGGGACAATTTTAGTGTCGTCAAAATAGAGTTAGCTTCCCAAAATTGAAGATGTAAAAAAGAAAGAATAACTCTATATCAATTGTTTAAAAAGTCTAACGGAAATGCATTTACAGAAATTTCGATAAAGCATAAGTTTAAAAACCTCAAAATTGTCAAAAAAAAAACCCAGCTTTTTCACAGAAAGGAAAAATTATTGCAAAAACAAAGTTTTCCCATGAAATGATCCCAACTCTTAATTATTTTGAATGATATTTTTGAATGATATTTTAGGGCCGTCATTTTCCACTATATAGTCAAAAGCGAACCCTTGTGAAACTGGGGTTTTGACTCTATTTTGAGCACACTAAACTTGTCCCTAAAGTGACTCGATTCCTTTTTTTGGTCACTCGCATTTCGCCTTCGAAATTTCTTCAATGCTTCGATCAATTGAAACACGTTTTAGCCTATTTTGTAGAGGAGATTTACAGCTTTCGTTTACAACTTTCAAATAGTTTATAACATTCATCGATATCAGAAAATCGATATTAGAAAATCGATATCAGGAAATCGATGTTTCTATCGTTGGCAATTTATGAAAATGTTCAAATCCGCATTTCTTATGCATTTCTTATGCATTTCTTATACATTTCTTATTTAAAACTTTAATCCCATGCCCACCGTTTTATCCGAATACTCGTTTTTAATCCTTTTTTCCATTTCCTTCTGATTGATCACTTCGCCAGCGAACTCACACTAAAAATTTCGCGTTTTGTTGATTGTTGATTTAAGGTTGATGTTGATTTAAGGCTTTATTGTATTAGGTTGATGCATAAGTGTTTTTGTTCCTTTTCGTCGGCCGTTTCAAGCCAACAAATGCACCAATTAAACTACGGTTGATTTCATTAGAAAAAGCAATTATTTTTCTGCAAAATAACATTAAAACGGGTTTAAAAATATTTGATGCCTGGATTTTCTTGAGAGTATGAAGTCGGGTAGTCAAAAAGGGCTAACTCGATGATGCGGTTTAGACACCTTAGCTAAAGAAAACCTATCTTCGTGTCAATAGATAAAAGATAGAGAAAAAAAAACGTTTGATATTTCGCCAAAATTTCAGAGAAATTCATTCAGCCAATTTTTCCGTAGAGTTTTTTTATAGATTTTTACGAAAAAGGCGTTTTTCACTCTCGAATTTGCTTGAAAGTGAACCGAAATTCATTTAAAAAGCACGTGTGGCTGACTGGTTAAGTGTCTTTTATCTTAATCGGAAGGTCGAGGGTTCGAACCCCACATGCGACATGGTCACCCCCTTCGGATTTCCTTTCCCTTCGGGTTGAGAGGTTTTCTGGAGGGCAGTCTGGTGGTTGTGGCCCCAGTTCTTTAAAGTGACAAGCCACTCCTTCATCGTCATCTTCCCTTCACCACCAAAAAAGCTATTTAGTTCCCCATTGAGCTTAGGGTTAGGGAGCCGTCTGTCATGACGTGGGTTAAGTTAAGATATAGCCTAGTATTGTGTGTGTCGTTGTATTGTGATTGATATATTTCGTGTATGCGATAAATTCACCACTGGTAGCCCCAGTCGGTATTTTTAAAAAGATGCAAATTGAACAAAAAAAAACACTTTTTTTATAGAGCAAACTATAGATTAATTGGTGAATTTGTTACTTTTTAACAAAAGTACGAAAAAAAACGAAAAGACTTATGCATCAACCTATTATATAAAAAAATTTGATAGTTAAATTTTTGAATCTTTCCAAAAAAAAAAACTAACCACAAATGCTCCAGAATGGATTCTTCTTCGAGAATATAGATGAATTTCGGCCTCTTTTTGATGATGATTTGATTTGCTTTGAGATTTCTCATTTGTATAGAGATCATCGCATGGGTTGAGGAAAGGCTGAAAGGAGCTGATTGAAGCTGATTGAAGCTGATTGAAGAAATAAAAATTGAATAATTATTGGTGTAACCATTCGTTTAGGCTATTAAACTTTAAAAAGTTGAGCCATTTGGGTTCAAAAATTGGACAATGTTATGGCAAAGAATGTTAGATTTCTTAGATTGCTAGATTTATTGAAAGATCCAAATGTTGTTGTTGGGAATGTTGTTAACTTATCGTGGCTTTTGCCTCGGGAAATACCCTATCTGATGCAGTTTTTCACGCTGATTCCGAAGCTGCAATCAGTTTTTGCCAAACGCTTCTCTATCGCGAGATATTTGGCATACAAGTTTTTGGGCTCTTTTTGGCATACAAGCTCATAAAATGGGCGAAAAAGAGTAAAAGAAAGGTTTCTTTATATAGACAGAGGACTAATAGGACCTCGGCGTTCAAAAAGGGCAGATGCACGCCTAAAGGATCGCCTAAAGGATGGCGTGGAGTAGACATCGGTTTTTTTCCGGGTCAGGTCGGGCCAGGTCGATCCGACTCCTCAGCCAACTCGGGTCAGGTCTTCAGCCAACTCGACTTAATATTACGTAGTAAAATTTGCACTTGATTCATAACAAATTTTACTAATAATCAGTTTTTGCCCATGTCTAGCGTGGAGGCCTCAAATAGAGACCAAAAATGCACTCAAAACTTGTAAGCAAGATATCTTCGGTTACGAGCATCAAGGCCAAAAACTAAAAGCAGTTTCGAACGCAGCGTGACCGATTCTGTAAGAAAAGTTTTGTAATTTTCCCGTTTTACGGCGCCATGCGCAAATTAGGAACAATTTGGGAACAATTTTTGCCTTAAATTTGGCTAGTATTTGCTCTTAACTCTTGAAAGCATTTGTTCGCGTTGTAAACAAGTTGTTTGCGATCATCAATGCGATCAACAATGATGATACGATGCGTATCATCAGCTTATCATCGTATCATCAGCTTACTAGGGAATGTTGTTAACTTATCGTGGCTTTTTGACTCGGGAAATACCCTATCTGATGCAGTTTTTCACACTGTTTCCAAAGCTGTAATCAGCTTTTGCCAAACGCTTCTCTATCACGAGATAGAGGCTCATAAAAGACTGTAAGATCGGTTTGGTCTAGTTTCAAAAGACCACGACAAGTGCTTGCCTTTCTCTAGTAAGAAATTAATGATCAAAAAAGTAATTTTCAAGTGTTTTTCTACATGAAATTTCATCAAAAAGGTTATTCCCTACCCGGCGACATTTTGGTTTTAGTGAGAATCGATTCTAAATCTTTTAACGTACCTTGTTGTGACAATTCTCGGCTTGACACGAGCTGGTGCACTGGATTCGAATGAGACGATAGAGACACAAATCCCCGCAGTCTTTCTTGCAACCACATGAAGTGTTCGGCGGTGGATGACTCCATCCAGGAACTCGACCACCCTCGAAGGCTGTGCCTGGAAAGAGATCAGATTAGTCAAAGAGATTCTGAAGTGGTAGATCAATCAAAGAGGGAAAAGATGATTGTTATGCTAATAATGTGTCCTTTTTATCAAGGTTGAGCCTGAAACGGTTTAGTTAGCAGACTAAAGTACTACTAAAGCAGAGCTTTAAAAAAGTTTGAAGACAGGTTGGCTGATAAGCTTATCAAGTTGGCAGACAAGCTCATCAAGCTGACAAGACAAGCTTATCAAGCTGACAAGACAAGCTTATCAAGCTGACAAGACAAGCTCATCAAGCTGACAAGACAAGCTTATCAAGCTGACAAGACAAGCTCATCAAGCTGACAAGACAAGCTGACCAAGCTGACAAGACAAGCTCATCAAGCTGACAAGACAAGCTCATCAAGCTGACAAGACAAGCTCATCAAGCTGACAAGACAAGCTCATCAAGCTGACAAGACAAGCTGATCAAAAACTGGATACGAATGGGAAAATGATAATTGAAAAATCTAGCTAAAACTGGTGAGAGAAATTTAAAAGAATGAGTTTTTCTCTCAAAAAAAGCCTAAGCAAAATCAAAGCTACAAGTTTTTCAAAAGTTAAAACTGTTAAAACTTTTAAAAACTAGCTTATTATGCAGCTATGTCTTTGATCTTTGATTCTAGTTCTAGTTCTAGTTCTGATCTAATTCTGATCTAGTACTTGTTGCCAAGTGTTGATATCCATCAGCTACAAATGTTGTGTCTCTTGTCCCACTTCTGTCTCTCTTTGGCTCGGATCTAAATCAAATGATTTCAATATGCTCAACTCGATCGGAAATCACCTTGGCAATCGAATCTTCACTTCTTTCAGTTTCCCATTCTTTGCTGGACGACCAAGACCTGCTTTTGATTCCCTAGAAAAAAAAAATTAGCATATTAGAAAGTCACAAAAATTCTCACTTCTTGATTTCTTTGATTTCTTTGATTTCTTTGAGTTTTTTGATTTCTTTGATTTCTTTGAGTTCTTTGATTTCTTTCACTTCTTCCACAATTTCCACCACTTTTTTCTTCTTCAGAAGTTCTTGTTTCACAGCTTTTCTAAAGCAAATCATATTGATAGATTGAAAACTATTGAATAGATTGTTTTAGTATTGAAAATTATTGTTTTTGTATTGAAAACTATTGTTTTAGTATTGAAAGCTATTGTTTTAGTATTGAAAATGATTGTTTTAGTATTGAAGGCTATTGTTTTTGTATTGAAAGCTATTGTTTTAGTATTGAAATCTATTGTTTTAGTATTGAAAACTATTGAAAACGATTGTTTTAGTATTGAAATTATTGTTTTATTATTGAAATCTATTTTTCTAGTATTGAAAACTATTGTTTTACTATTGAAAACGATTGTTTTACTATTGAAATCTATTGTTTTAGTATTGAAAACTACTGTTTTAGTATTGAAATCTATTGTTTTCGTATTGAAAACTATTTGAGAATGATTATTGAAACTTGTTTCACGGCTTTTCTAAAGCAAATTATATTGATAGATTGAAAACTATTGAATAGATTGTTTTACTATTGAAATCTATTGTTTTACTATTGAAAACGATTGTTTTAGTATTGAAATTATTGTTTTATTATTGAAATCTATTTTTCTAGTATTGAAAACTATTGTTTTAGTATAGAAAACTATTGTTTTACTATTGAAAACTATTGAATAGATTGTTTTACTATTGAAAATTATTGTTTTACTATTGAAAACTATTGTTTTCGTATTGAAATCTATTGTTTTACTATTGAAAACTATTTGATTCTGATTATTGTTCATCCCAATTCATCGCACCTCTCTTCAATCTCTTTCGTTTCTCTCTTCAACTTCTTCTCGATCTCATCCCATTTGATTCTGATCGGGAATTTGTTCATTTTCGCCGGCGTTTCTCTGAAGTTTTATTTTCAATCTCTAGTTTTATATTTGGATCGGATTTGGATTATTTATAGTTTCACGTGGTTCTTAAAAGTTCCTTCACTTAAAAGTTCTTAAAAGTTCCACCTCTTTTTCTCGTTTATCCTCAAATTCTTCAACTCTGCTCCAATCCTCAGCCAAAGCTCGTCAACACAATGATTGAATTGATCTCTGAATTAGAAAACGTTTTTTGAAAAACCAAACTTTGTCTTACCTTGCCGCTTTTCTGTACTCGATGATGCGTTCATTGATGGGCGTTGGCTAAATTTTAAATAGTAATTGATTTAAAAGTTCAGCCATCTTTGTTCAGCCATCATGGCGATTTTTGCCATTTTAGCACTTAAGCTTATCCCTAGTTTCCTGATAAGGCTATCCCTTATTTGCTTTTCAAAATAGACTTGCTTTATAGCAAAATAAACTTTCAACTAGCTCAATCAACGATCTTGAAGATAGCTATAGTCTTTTATACTATACTTTTAAACTCTATACTTTTAAAATCAACATAAGACCAAACTCTAGAAGCCAAGTGACAAGTTCTGGCTGCTAGTGCTTTGTTTTCTACAGTTTTTTTGAATGTCTATGTCTATTTGTCTGCACTTTACTTCTACAATATATTTTGTGGCCAAAAAGCTCTTCTACACTGTATTCCACTCCTATTCCATTCCACCGATCCCACCAGATCATTCACTTCATTGTCGACCTCTTGACACTTGCTCGTCGACGGTTTCTCTTCATCTTCATTGTTCTGAATCTCTGCCCGACTATTCGACTCACGATCGACGCTTTCCGCTTGGCGTTGGCGTTTCTGAAACTTGAATTTGATTAGATTTGATTTGATTTGATTTGGCTAGATTAGATTACATTTAATTAGATTAGATTAGATTAGATTTGATTAGATTAGATTAGATTAGATTAGATTAGATTAGGCTTTCAAATTTCCAACTCAACCTTTTGTATTTCAATTTTCGGCGCTTTGCTGAGCGGCTCCTGAGCAATGTCTTGTTTCACATCAATCTGAAAAAGATTCAAGTGTACCAGAAGAGAAAGAAAAAAAACGCGAGTGTACTAGGAGTTTTCTACTTTTTGAGCATCTTTAGCTTATTTATATAGCTTATACACTCGTTTTTAGAGTTCTCTCGAGTAAAGTGTTTTCTAAAATGCATCTTTTTGAGAAAACTCCCTTAGTCAAACTGCTAGTTTACATCCAATCAGCTAAATTTTAGTATCATTCGATGTAGAATGAAATTTCGCGTCGAATGATACCAAAATCAACTTCAAATATAATATCCACGTAAAGTTATGAGGCAAAAGGTTAAGTCCCGTCCATAATGGGCGAGGCTTAGGTTTTTAGCCAACAACTTTGCGTGGATATTACATTTTAAGTTGATTTTGGTATCATTCGACGCGAAATTTCATTCTACATCGAATGATATTCAAAATAGTTAAAAGCAAAGAGCTGGTGCTGAGAAAAACACGAAAAACCTTAAATTGTCTACGGCAAAAAAGCATCGACAGATGTTTTTGTTACAAGTCGACTCTCGACTACTGTAATGCCTTTTTTACAAATCTAGAACACACTCTACCCATTGTACTTGACTTTTGAGGACTATTAGATCAAAATGGAATGCTCTCGTTTAGATTACAGTTTACAGTAAAACAGTTTCTTTACAGTAAAACAGTTACAGTTTCTTCCTCAAAGTTCTAGCTGTTATTACAGCTAGAACTTCTTGCTTTTGATCCACTTGATCCACTGGATACCTTGTTGAAGGCAGCCATCCCCTCTTCTTCACTCCTTCTCGTTTCCTCACTTCCACCACTCGATGGTCGACTTCTTTTCGTTCCTATCATTGATCCCTTTCCCTCTTTTTTCACCGACCAATCGAATGTCTCATTTGCAGGTTCCTGAAATTCAAATATAGAAATAAATAGAATCTATTTGAAAACAAAGAAACGATTACATTTTCAACGGTTTTGCTTTTGTTTTAAACAGTTTTGCTTTTGTTTTAAACAGTTTTGCTTTTGTTTTAAACAGTTTTGCTTTTGTTTTAAACAGTTTTGCTTTTGTTTTAAACAGTTTTGCTTTTGTTTTAAACAGTTTTGCTTTTGTTTTAAACAGTTTTGCTTTTGTTTTAAACAGTTTTGCTTTTGACTTACCTTCGAGACAAGCTTTGCTTTTTTTCGCATCAGATTCGTCAGGGTTTTCACCTTTTCTGGGTCCATTCTCTAGAAATTTGTTGTGAAATCGTTTATAAAAGATCAAAATTGACGTTTTAACTAGAGTTCTACATCAATTTATGCTTCTATTGGGTTGTCCAGTTCTGAATCGGCGTTTTTTACTATTTTATAAATTTCTCAAGATACCGAAATCAAGAAAAAGATATAGATGAGTCTTATTCGAAAGCTGAAGACCTCCTCTACATTTTGATATGAAAAGTTTTTGAATTTGTTCAGCTTTTGGGCAAATTGATGGCACAGAAGAAGAGGTGGCCAAAAAATGGATCAAGTTTTGGCTCTCAGGACTCAGAGCCAGCTCTCAAGACTCAGAACCAGCTCTCAAGACTCAGAGCCAGCTCTCAGGCCTCAGAGCCAGCTCTCAGGCCTCAGAGCCAGCTCTCGGGACTCAGAGCCAGCTCTCAGGGCTCAGAGCCAGCTCTCAGGCCTCAGAGCCAGCTCTCGGGACTCAGAGCCAGCCGAGGTGCCTTTGGATCAAGTTTTGGCTCCGCTCAAATTGAGTTAACCGTTTGATGTTTGACCAATAGATATATTAATACAACTTTTTTTAAATACAACAATTTCAGAGCATCTTTTCTTTTCTGGGCGGTTATTTTACACTAAAAAACTTGAGGAATAGCTAAGCTGAAGTGGATTTTTTTTTCGAAAACCACCTCTCCCTTTGTTCAGTCAATTTCCCAAAAAGTTGCATGAATTCAAAAACTTTTTTATTCCAAAATGTAGAGGAGATGTTCAGCTTTCGAATGATATATAACACTCATAAACATCTGTTCGATGTCTTGAGAAATTTACAAAATAGTAAATAGCAAAACGCATTCATAACTGGAAAACCCAATACATAAATTTATGCTTCTAGATACCAAATCCGATAAAACTTTAACGACTTTTATCTGACTGATATGAAAATATTCACCTGAGCAATGATCTCAGCGATTTCCTGTGGATCCATATTCGGTGAGATGTTTATTGAATGATGTGACGAGGGACCGCTCGTCGGTTGCTCACACTCGGAGCCGTGAACTGCCGATTCGACTAAAGATTTGATTTGTTTGCGATTTGTCCAGGAACAGTCATAACAGTCATAGCAGAACAGTCAGAACAGTTTGATAAAAGTCATAAAATTTAGAGTCTAGATGCTAGTTTAGCTCTTGAACATGTACTTTTATATGATTGTTCATTTGATACTACGTATTTACTTGTATATGATTGTTTAAATGTTAAATTATACCTGAATCATCGACACTCCGTGAGCTCATTTGTTGTGGGAGGCTCTCGCTCAACAACGATAACTGAAAAAGTTGAGAATTATCTTCACTGTTTGTCATTTGCCATGATTTAGGCCAGCCAAGCGATTGGATTATTGTTCTTAGAGCTAGGAGTTCGCCTGTCAAATCAACCCCACTTTTTTGGATGGCAAAAGATAACTTTTGCTTTTGACAGTAAGAGCTAACTTCTGTTAAGCTCTGCTAAGCTCTGCTAAGCTCTGCTAACTTCTGCCTTCGACACCGACTTGCTTCTCTGCTTCTCATTTGTTTATTGTTCTTGGGATCAACAGATCAAACAAGCCAATTGGTTTAGGCTAACATTTAGCTTCTCCAATGGTAAGCATTAAAGAGCAAACGACAATAAGCATTGCTTTCTATTAAAACCAAAACTCGGCTAATAGTCAATGAGAGCTAACTCCGTTCAAATCTTTTGAACAAGTTTGTCAACAAACTGGTCAGCTTCTGATTTAGGCCAAGAAAGCCAGCTTCTGATTTAGGCCAAGAAAGCCAGCTTCTAATTCAGGCCAGGAAAGCCAGCTTCTGATTTAGGCCAAGAAAGCCAGCTTCTGATTTAGGCCAAGCAAGCCAGCTTCTGATCCAGGCCAAGCAAGCCAGCTTCTGATTTAGGCCAAGAAAGCCAGCTTCTGATTCAGGCTTTATTTCTAGTTCATTTTTAGCTTGAAGTTAGTATTTCTCAACTATTCATATCAAAAGTTTTTCTTGGAGGATCAGCAGAACTTAGTCTTGACTGTAGAACTTGTTGGTTGTAAGTAAGCCTCTAGATTTGAATGGGACCAGAAATAGATTTGTCTGTCTATCTAGAAATAGACTCCGTTTCCAGAACATTCTCTTCTTGATTCTCATTCTCATTCTCTTCTTGATTCTCATTCTCATTCTCACTCTCTTCTTGATTCTCACCAAATTCTCTTCTTGATTCGCTGGGATCAAAAGTGGCATATCGTCAAAAGACTCGTTCTCTTCACTGATATCCTCGGAGAAGCTGTTCAACAATTCCTAAATTCAAATTGTCAGAAATTCAGAGAAAGGGTAAAAGAAAAGGGTAAAAGAAAGGACTGACAGTTGTTGGAGGAGAGAGAACCTCGGCATTTGGAGTGCCGGGCACAGATTGGATTCCCGAATCGGGAGTGGTCGACAGATCGATTCCACCATTGCCATTCATTCCAACCCACGCCGATCGACCGCCCACTTGATAGCGGATCTAAATTGGGAAAATGATGAGCTAACTAGGAAAAGGCAAAAGGAAAAGGGACAAACTCAAGATGAGCTTTTGTCTGAACTAGTGTACTTTATAGAATCGCGTATGAGAAATTTGAATTTGAATCTGATCAGGGTTTGGTCTATGATATAGGTTCTTGTTTTTCTTTTTGCTTTTCTTGGAACAACTTCTAGCATTTAGCAGCTGTCAAGGCAAAAGTTTATCTTAAATTTCGTGCTTTTCCCTACCGTAAATACTGTAATAGTACCCCACCCCTCTCGTACAGTCGCGTAGTCGCAAAAGTTTTTTTGGTATTTCATTTTTTTTCAAAGCGTCCCTGCTTTCAAAAAACGCGTCTTTGGTATCAAATGAAAGCTGAAATTCAGGGTTATTTTTTGATACCTAAACGCGCGTCGTAGCATAAACCAGTGTCGAGAAAAACTCGTTCAAAGCTAGACTACGCAACGCTCCGCACCGTCATTATGGGGGCGGGGTACTATTACAGTATTTACGGTAATAATAATAATACTTTATTCAAACGATAAAGTGAAAGAAATCATAGAGAAATGCACAGTGATACTTAATCATACAATACATACTGAAATCAATAAGCCAATTACTTACGGCAAAGAGCCACTAGATCTAAAGCATCGATACGTTTCTTGAATATGAAAAGCGACTGAATTTCTCGTATGTCGTTTGGGAGCAAGTTCCATAATCTAGCGGCTCTAACGGGAAATGAATTTGATAAAGAGGCATTGGAAGCAAAGGGAATTTGCAAAAGGAATGAGCCACTTCTGGGCCCTGACCGCGGTTTAAATTTGAAAAAGTCTATAAACAAAGGGCTAATTAGGTTTAAATGTAGGTTTAAATGTAGGTTTAAATGTAGGTTTAAATGTAGATTTAAATGTAGGTCGAAATGTAAACTAAATATAGATTTAAATAGATACGTTGGTAAGTTAATAAAGAAATTTTTTGAAGAACTAATTACAAGAAACGAATGATTTTTTTTGCTTGGACTTTGTGTGCTCATTTTTTGGTAAATTTCTTCGGCGTACTCTCAAAAAACCAAAAACAAGTTAGCAGCAAAAGAAAAACAAAAGAATTCAGTACACTAGGAGTGGCTTGGACACTAGCAGTGTGTTTCCGAGAACAGAAAGCACACCACTAAACGTCAAAGCGCCCATTGGGGTGATTTTAAAGCTGAGTTTTGCTCAGAATTTTGCGTGGAATCCGATCCACTAGGCCTCGTAGTCAAAACTTTTCGCTAAACCTTTACAAAAACTGAACCTTTTGAAAACTGAACCAAAAACTAAACAAAAACTAAACAAAAACTAAACAAAAAATTGAAAACAAACTCTTTCTAGTGGACTTAATTCGTCATTTTCTTATAGAAATAGTCAATAAAGAAGAATAAAAGAAAGAAGAAGAGAAAGAAGAAAAGAAAGAAGCCTTTAATGCACCAGAAAGAGTGTGTTTAAAGCAAGATGAGCTGAAGCTTTTTTGCTTGAGCACAAGCACAAAGCTCAAAGCACTCAAAGCAAAAGTTTACGGTGAACCAATTTTGGTTTTTTAACAATTTTCGCTTATTTTCTTTCTTTGACAGTATTTTCTCTGCTCAAAAATAGAAAAAACACTTCCTAGCGCACTCAAATTGCAATTCCCAAAAGGATTTGGTAGTAAACGAAGATTTAAGTACACCAGAAAGCGTGTTTAACGCTTTTTGAACAAAAAGTGCAGTCACTTGCTTCTTTGAGAATCTAAACCTGTTGTTGTTGTTGTTGTTGTTGTTGTTGTTGTTGTTGTTGTTGTTGTTGTTGTTGTTGTTGTTGTTGTTGTTGTTGTTTCGGTGCCGTTGTTACCGCTTTCATCGCCGGATTTGCAATGATCATTTGGGGGTTTATCTAAGAAAAAATATCACTATTAATCATTATGAATCTATTAAAAGTTTATGAATTTTAAAATCTCACCGTTGTAACGGGCAGTTGTCCGTTTTTAAAAGCATACGCCCCATTCTGTAACATGTTTCGCGCGATCGTCACCGGCACTTCGCCCACTTTTATCAGGTTCTAAAAATTTGCATAACACAAATAAAGATACCCTAAATAGAAGCCCTTCTAATGGATTCTAATAGAAGCCCGCCTATAGGAGCGTCGCGTAAATTTACGCTTAAAGAACAGCTCATACCCTCAACACTGAACAGCTTAAAGATCAGCTCATACCCTCAACACCGGACAGCTTAAAGAACAGCTCATACTAACTAATATAGAATTTAATTGACGCTTTTAAAACTATGTGTGAATAAATTGTTCATAAAAACCCTCAAATTACTAAAAAAATATTCTAATCCAAGAAAAGCAAACACGTTGATTGATTGACCTTGATTGACCGTGAGAGGGTCCGAACCAGCGCCGAACGCTTTGAAATCCAGCACAATAACCACTAGGCCAACCGGCCACCTTAGTAAGGCGACGAGGGAAGGCTTTAATAGAGAGAGCTCCGATTTTCAAAAGATTTTTCGCGCTCCCAATTTTCCCAATTTTTACACTGGTTAAAGAGCTCATTGGGTTGGGCTCATTGGGTCTTAGAACTGTGTTTTGCTCAGAATTTTGCGTAGAATCCGATGCGCTAGGTCTCGTAGCTTGACTCAATGCTAATTTCAAACAGTTCTCAAGCTCAAACAAAATGATTAAAAAGTGGGAAAAAGAGTCGATTTTTGCCTATTTTCAATCATTTTTTTAAGGCTCTGGTTAAAGTTAAAAAAATGTGTTATATCTGAAAAAAATCACCCATTTTCTCTACTTTAATTTGATACCAAAGCGCACAGAAACAAAAGTACTGGTGTTAAGATATGAGCGTTTGTTTAAAGAGTAAACTTTAGACTATGCAACGCTCGGATTCTATAAGAAGATTTATTATTATCTATTAGAAGTGTAGCTTTTTTTTATTTAGTTCTGTTTTTTAGTATCTAGATATGTTTCTTTAGTGTTTAGATAGGCTTTTTAGTGTTTAGATCTGTTTTTTTAATATCTAAAGATGTTTTTAGTATCTAGATATGTTTTTTTAGTATTTAGATATGGTTTTTAGTAGCTAAAGATGTTTTTTAGTGTTTAGATTATAGCTTAAATCTGACTACAAATTTCAAAACAACTCATCTTTTAGAAAACATGTTACTCGTGAAAAACAGATCAGTCAAAAAGTCAAAAAGTCAAATGAAAATGAAAAGTCAAATGAAAAAGTCGAAATTTACTCTAGCAGGGTTTCTTGGCTACCATAAAAACTCTAATAGAGGGGCCTTTGACGACGCGACGCTCCTATAGGGGTAGGGATTTTGACTACGAGGCCTAGGGGATCGGATTCCACGCAAAATTCTGAGCGAAACTTAGTTTTAAAAACAACCCAATGGGCGCTTAGTCAAAGTTTACTCTCAAACAAGCACTGATATCTTGACACTAGTACGTTTTTTTCTGCGCGCTTAGATATCTAATTAAAGTAGAGAAAATGGGTGATTTTTTCAGATATAACACATATTTTTAGCATTAACCAGCGCTTAGAAAAAATTATTGAAAAGTGGCAAAAAAGATTTTTCATCATTTTTCAATCATTTTTTTTAAGGCGCTGGTTAAAGTTAAAAAGATGTTTTATATCTCAAAAAATCACCCATTTTCTCTACTTTAATTTGATACCAAAGCGCACAGAAACAAAAGTACTGGTGTTAAGATATGAGCGTTTGTTTAGAGAGTAAACTTTAGACTATGCAACGCTCGGATAGGGGACTCTTCTATAAGAATATTTATTATTATCTAAATAGAATTGTAGCTTTTTTTATTTATTATATAATTCTTTTCATTTCTTTATTACTAACATATTGAAAAATCTTGATTTTAACGTTTTAATGTCTAAGATTTTCGTAAAAGTAAAGTGAAATGGGAAAATTTGTCCAATCTAACTTTTTTACTAATAGATTTTTATCTATGACATAAGACTAAGATTTAAGAATATCCCCGCTTTGTGACAGTTTCGTTTTACAAGTTTCTTTTTACCTTCGGTGCACCAGATCCGCGAAAAACGAGTTTTGTCGGCCCTGAGGATCGAGCCGCAGGCACTGGTGGTAGACTGGCATTTGCACCTGGAAAAGTTCATTACTTTTGAAAGCAATGAACTGCAATAGACTGTTATTAGATACTATGATTAGAATAGAGAATCATAAAGATACGATGAAGAAATAGTGGCTTTATTGTGGTTGTTCTGCGTTCAAGCTTATCTATCCTACTTTATTCTAAAGCTATGACTGAATATCTTGTTCTCCTTAAACCTTAGGCATACTGCGCATAAAAGAAAGCATCAGAGAAAAGAAAAAAAGGAAATAGCCTAAAGATTGCATAAAAAAGATGTAGCTTGGTATTTTTTCTGAATCAAATTCGAGCTAACAATAAGAATGGGCAAAGATTTCGAGTAGTTACCTCTTGTTCATTCATAGCTCTTGCATAAAACTGTTTTTAAGGCTTATCTCTATAACTTACAATTAGCTATATGCAATTAGCTATATGTTAATTAGCTAAAAAATAGATCTACTTTAATAGCAAACCTGGCGTATATGGGATTTGCGGGGCATTAATGGCATAAAGTTGAAATCTCGGCGCCGCTGCTCCATTCGTCGTCGGCATCGGGTTTGTCGATGCCGAGACGGTGGTCGGATTCGCATTCTAAACTTTATGATCTAACAAATATTTATATCTAAATATTATCAGCTCTTGCGTAGTTTCCGGGTATTTTAAAAGAATCCATTGAAAGAATTCGGGTATTTTGAAAAAATCCGGGTTTTTCAACGGATCGTCACCCTTTGAAGGCCTATAACTTCGCCCAGAGACCATATTTTTGCTAACTTTTTATATCATTGTATAGAGAAAATTTCAGGCTTTCAATTGATATTAAATAGAGCTTAATTGGATAATCTAGTCAAGGAAAATCAGAGCCAACTCTGAGCAAATAAGGCATTTCCCACTCGAGTGTCGTGTCGCCTTGTTGGCATGGGAATGGAACGCCCAATCAAGCTCTATTTGGTATCATTTGGAAGCCTGAAATGTCCTCTGTACAATACTATAAAAAGTTAACAAAAATATGGTCTCTGGGCGAAGTTATAGGCCTTCAAAGTGTGACGACCCGTTGAAAAACCCGGATTTTTTCAAAATGCCCAGATTTTTCAAAATACCCGGATTCTTTCGAAAAATTATGGAAAACTATACAAGGCCCATCTTATCTAATATATATTTATCATAAGCAAATTGTGGATCAAAAGTTAAGTCAATTTTTGAGACTTACGATATTCGACGAGGCGCCGGCGCTCGATGGTCGAATCAGCATGCCTAGATGGAAAAATTCCAGATATTTTGCATATTTTAGAAGTATTTTAATAGTATTTTGATAGTATTTTAATAGTATTTTAATATTTAAACAATTTTAAATCCCTTTTCAAACTGATAACTTACGAAATGTCGTCTGCACATCCGGTTGGCCTTCTTGTGCGCCGGGTTCTAGCTGAAAATATTGGTTTAGTTTGCGTTTAAGACTTCGAAATTCGAAAATCTAGATATGTAAATCAAAAAGAAGCTATGCATAAACGTAAATGACTCAAAAAAAAAAGTGTTTTAAAACGAAAACCTGCACAAGAACCGCTTCATAACTCATCCTCCGCTTTACCCTTTCAGCATCACTTTGTCACGTATCTGAATAGAAAATTTTATCATTTTTTGTGCTTTTTGGAAGGATTTAAGGATGGAAATTTGCATAAAGGACATCTTTTGTAGAATTTCATGTTAATTTGCATAATGTTTGCATAAAGTTTGCATAATGTTTGCATAAAGTGCCAGCAAATTGCTTGCAGCATTGTTTGCCAGCGAATTTGCTTAAAGTACTCTTAAAGTACTCTTAAAGTACTCTTAAAGTACTCTTTAAGCAAATTTGTTTAACTTTAAACAGTCTTTTGCCCACAAATTTCATGTAAATTTGCAATAATGTTTGTCTAAATTGCATGAATTAGCAGAAATTAGCAGAAGTTAGCATTTAACTTCAAATCCTTAATGGATTTTTATCCGCTTAATGTCTAAATGCCTAAGTTAACAATCAAAGAAAAAATCAAAATGATATGCAAATCTAGTTATGCTAATCTCTCTTTTGCATCGCATTCAAATTTAGATTTAAATCCACATTTAAATCTATATTTAGTTTACATTTCGACCTACATTTAAATCTACATTTAAACCTACATTTAAACCTACATTTAAACCTACATTTAAATCTACATTTAAACCTACATTTAAACCTACATTTAAACCTAATTAGCCCTTTGTTTATAGACTTTTTCAAATTTAAACCGCGGTCAGGGCCCAGAAGTGGCTCATTCCTTTTGCAAATTCCCTTTGCTTCCAATGCCTCTTTATCAAATTCATTTCCCGTTAGAGCCGCTAGATTATGGAACTTGCTCCCAAACGACATACGAGAAATTCAGTCGCTTTTCATATTCAAGAAACGTATCGATGCTTTAGATCTAGTGGCTCTTTGCCGTAAGTAATTGGCTTATTGATTTCAGTATGTATTGTATGATTAAGTATCACTGTGCATTTCTCTATGATTTCTTTCACTTTATCGTTTGAATAAAGTATTATTATTATTTAAACCTACATTTAAATCTACATTTAAATCTATTTAGTTTACAATTGAATCTATATTTAAATCTACATTTAAACCTACATTTAAACCTACATTTAAGCCTACATTTAAACCTGCATTTAAATCTATGTAGTTTACAATTGAATCTATATTTAAATCTACATTTAAACCTACATTTAAATTTACAGTTAGTTTACATTTAAATCTCCATTTAAATCTCCATTTAAATCTACATTTAAATCTACATTTAGATCTACATTTACTTTACATTTAAACCCTGGAAATTTGTAGGCAAAAGATGCTAGTAATAAAGATAGTAGTAATAAAGAAACTAGTAATTTAATATGCTAGTAATAAAGAAATGAAAAGAATTCTATCTGAAAAGAATCTATAATCAATAAAAAACAATTCAACAACAAACAAACAAACAAGAAACAATTACAATTCTAATAGATAATAATATCAAAATCAAAATGTGATCAAAATGTGATCAAAATTAGCATTTTACATCAATCAAAAGATGCCGTATCAAATTTAGACATTCAAGAAATGAAAAAAATTCGCAAAACTAACAAAATTCGACATTCAATCAAGATTTTCGAATGGTTATATGCTGTTTTTGCGTAATTTCTCTGAAATTCGTTAGCAATAGGCGAAGAATAAATGCCTTAGACACGAGAAAACTGAAAAGAAAAGCTTCAAGTTCAAGCTTCATCATTCAAAAGAGAAATTGTTTAAAGCTCTTGAAAGAAATGTAAGCAAATGTAAGCAAATGTAAGAAAATATAAGACTGAAACTTTGCTTTAAAAGAAAATAAACTTGTAAACAAATGCCGCATTTCGTAAAGTTAATCTGACACGAGGGAAAACAATGAATGAAAGGCCATATTCGATATATCCAGTTCGATGAGAAGAGAGTGCGAGGTGAACGAAAAAAAAAAGAGAAGAACCCGTCGATTTCTTCTTTTGCATTTCATCCGCCTTTTCTTCTTCTTTTGTGCATCTCTTAATTTCTCTTCTCTTCTCTTTTCTCTTCTTCTCTCTCAATCAACAAAGCAACCCAAAATTTCTCTGAGTTCTCTGCGAAATGCTCTCTTCTCTTCACTCTCTCCCCACATTTGGAGGAGCTGCTGGGGGAAAGCGATGCGGCTCGCGATCCGGTCATGAACATAAGGAGTCTTTTGCTTTCTTTTAGTGGGAAATAACAAAGAGATTTATAGGTTTGTTCAATGAATTCAGAAGGATTGATAGATTTTAGAAAAATGAGCATAAATCGAGTCGATTGTGAACAGTACATGCAAATAAAAAGTTTTCTAAGTAGATAGAAAGCTTTGTAGGTAGATATAAAGCTTTCTAGGTAGATAGAAAGCTTTTTAGGTAGATATAAAGCTTTCTAGGTAGATATAAAGCTTTCTAGGTAGATAGAAAGTTTTCTAGGTAGATAGAAAGCTTTCTAGGTAGATAGAAAGTTTTCTAGGTAGATAGAAAGTTTTCTAGGTAGATATAAAGCTTTCTAAGTAGATATAAAGCTTTCTAAGTAGATAGAAATCTTTCTAGATAGATATAAAGCTTTCTAAGCAGATATAAAGCTTTCTAAGTAGATAGAAAGCTTTCTAAGTAGATAAAAAACTTTCTAGGTAGATAGAAAGCTTTTTAGGTAGATATAAAGCTTTCTAAGTAGATATAAATCTTTCTAGATAGATATAAAGCTTTCTAGGTAGATAGAAAGTTTTCTAGGTAGATAAAAAGCTTTCTAATCAACAAAATTAACTCTAGAAAGCAAACTTTTATTTTAAAATCTTTATTTGACATCAATGAACAACAAATTAACAATTAAATTCAAAGCGATCACCATTTTTAGCCGAGCACGATGTCAAGCGTTGGAAACGACTAAGTGAGCATCATCGAGTTCATTCCAGGATTTTAGACGACTCTTTTTCCCAGCTTTCAACATTTTTATGCAGTTTTAAGCAAGCTTCTGTCTCAAGAATGAACAAGACATAATAATTTATCGGATTCAGATCCGGCGAGCCGGCTGGCCATCTAGAAAACGAGATGAAATCGGGAAACTTCACAACAACATCAACAAACTTTGCAAAGCTTGGACTTTCTTGGCTTTATTTCTTGGCTTTCTTGACCGGAGTTCCGTCTTGTTCGAATGTTCAAATTTGATTCAACAACATCAACAGACTTTCTTGTCTTTATGGGTCGGAGTTCCGTCTTGTTCGAATGTTCAAATTTGATTTTTGAAATTCTTTTGTGTTTAGTGCAAAATTTGAGCTTTAAGGAGATTGCGATAGTTCATAATAATAGAAAATTGGATTATGATTATGGGTAATTGTGATTTTGTTAAATGGCCTAATGTTTCTCGATTTCATTCACAGTCAGTCACAAATTCAGTCACAGATTCAGTCACAGATTTCAGTCAAAAATTTAAAGCTCTTTTTAGAATAGCAAAAAAAGAAACTAATACATTGAAAGCCTTTACAGTATTTGTAAAAACTATGCCATCACTCTCCTTTACTACAGCAGAGGAAAAGAAAGTTTGCAGGCGACACAGCCGATAAAATATTGTAAGCTAGAGTTGTTTGTATCAAAATACTTGTGAATTGTAACCAAAACTCCAAAAGCTGTTTTATGAAAATCTGAAAATGAGTTGTCAACGTTGAAAATGAGTTGTCAACGTTGAAAATGAGTTGTCAACGTTGAAAACAGTTGTCAACGTGCAATCCCAGTACTATACTTTGAGAAACCTATCCTTAAAATACATTTATTCACACGAATCATGTGATACAAACAATACACAAGCACAACCTATAAGCCTTAAATGTAGAAAAGAAAAACAACCAATAATCTAACCGTCGGGATTGAACTAATTCGACTATTCGACTAACAAGGGAATGGCACGAACTGGACGAACGATTTCGGACGATTTCGCTACGTCGCTGAGATGCAAACGCTTATCGAGCATGGGGAACATGATGCTCTATTTATTTTTGCCCATTCTCAATGATTTACAAGAAAAACGCTTACAAATTTTGAACGCTTACAAATTTACAAATTTCTCTATGTTCTTGCACATGAATATACAAAATAAAAGTCCTGTATCTTACAAGGGAATGCTCCGTACTGAGCGGATGATTTCGCTACCCCGCTGAGATGCAAACGCTTATCGAACGTGGGGAACACGATGCTCTATTTTGCCTATTGATCTTTATTTTTTGCCCATTCTTAATGATTTATAAGAAAAACACTTGCAAGCACTTGCAAAACACAACTTTGGACGACTAGTTGGACGACTACTTGGACGACTACTTGGACGACTAGTTGGACGACTAGTTGGACGACTAGTTGGACGACTACTTGGACGACGACTTGGACGACTACTTGGACGACTACTTGGACGACGACTTGGACGACTACTTGGACGACTAGTTGGACGACTAGTTGGACGACTAGTTGGACGACTAGTTGGACGACTACTTGGACGACGATCGTACCTCAGTGATATATGGGCTCTTTCCTTCTCCTCAAACGTGGCAGAGTGGTGAAGAGGTAAGTGCGCACGCTCTTAATTTCATGTTTTCTTTTTCTTGACCCTGATTCTGATTCGTTCACTGACTTTACAGCTATTTACTTCTTTTTTTTGCAAATTTGAATTTAAATGACAACTATTTATAGCAAGAAAAAAAGATCTAACAATCATAATGAAAAGATTCAATTTGACGCAGCTTTTTTTTCTGTGATTATCATTGGAAATCCAAATAAAAATGTGTTTTTAAAGGTTTAGCAAGAGAAAGCAAAACAAGTTTTCGCAACCGGATCCAAACCAGGGTCAAGAAAAAGAAAAGGTGGAATTAAGAGTGCGTAAACTTACCTCTTACACCATCCTGCCACGTTTGAAGAGAAGGAAAGAGTCCATATATTCCGATGCGATTTCCCGGCGTCCAAAAGTAGTAGGCGTCCAAAATTTGTAAGCGTTTTTCTTGTAAACCATTGAAAATGGGCAAAAATAAAGAT